AGCTGACTTTAATTGTTCAGCATATCTACTGAATTTTTTGAGATTTATTTCTTTTTATTGGAAAGGCAGATCAGATCTATGGAGGGAAGAATAGACACATCTTCCACCCACTGGTCCGGCAGTATCTACACTAGTGTGTGAACAATTTGGGCACCTTTTGCTAGCCAGGTTGACAAAAGTAACCATCATAATCCATTGATATTCCATATTTTAATGCCTGTATAGATAGTGTGTTTTCTACTTCTGCATACTCGTTCAGTTTCCTTTACAACTTAGCTTTGTCTTTACTGCGCTCAAACAGGACAGTGTCAGTTGGAATAACTTGACAGAGTGATCATTTAATTTTAAGAATTTTTTTCTACCTTGTTTGAGCCATTTTTTTTTTCATGTCACAGGATTGACAATAATTCTTAAATATTTTAGAGAACATAGATGTAGGTAAGAATTTAGAACCCAGACAGTTGTCAGGATAGACAGGAAAGGAAATACAGGAAGTTTAAGAAAAGACACACAGCTCATGTTGTAGATGCTATATGCTCTTCTCTTTTCTTGGTCGAGTCAAATAACGAAGTCTCAGTTCCTTATCAGAAAACTGGACTAATAACCATTTCAGGAATCCACCGTGAAGCCATGTGCGGTATTTTGTACTTAGGACTTGGAATAGTGCTATGAAATTGGTGTAGCTCCCATCACTATTTTACTGTTTTAAAGATTTGTTTAAAAAATGGTTGCAGGGTCCCAAGCTCGTAGGTCGTTCTCCACCGCTCTCTCAGTGCATAAGCAGGAACCTGGGAGGGAAGTGGAGCAGCCAGAACTCAGAGTGGTCCTGTCCGGGGTGCGAGCATCTCAGAAGGCAGCTTGGTTTACTACGCCATGGCCCTGGGCACAGCTGTTAGCTTTTCAACACCATGTGCCAGACACTATACCTAACTTATGTTCAGCAGCTATTTGTGCCAAGCACTACCCCAGATTCTGGACTGTAGTAGTGAGAAACGGGCAGCTCTGCACACACAGGGATCTTGTGAGCTCCGTGTTGTCACAGGAGACCCAGATAATAAACAAACACAGGAATCAACTGGTTTCAGGTTGTGATAAGAAGAGTGACAAAAAGGAAAATCAAACGTGTGAAAAATAATTGTTAGATGGGGAACCCATCTCAAAGGGGGCAGTCACAGAACAACTCCTTGAGGAGGTGACATTGAAGGAGAAACTTTAAAAGGATTTTATTCTGTGTGATTACCTTCTTAAAAAAAAAAAAAAAAGATGTATTTGAGGGCCCAGCATAGTAGCCTTGTGGCTAAAGTCTTGCCTTGCATACGGCAGGATCCCATATGGGCGCTGGTTCGTGTCCCCACTTCCCATCCAGCTCCCTGCTTGTGGCCTGGGAAGCAGTCGAGGATGGCCCAGGGCCTTGGGACCCTGCACCCGCGTGGGAGACCCAGGGGAAGCTCCTGGCTTGGGATCGGCGCAGCTTCCACCATTGTGGCCCCTTGGGGAGGGAATCAACAGATGGAAGATCTCTTCTGTGTCTCCACCTCTCAGTATATCTGATGTTCCAATAAATAATAATACTAAATAAATGAATAAATCTTTTTTAAAAATTCATAGAATTCTATCAACACAGAATGAATTCAAAGTGATTAAATAAAGCCCCGCCAAAAGAGAAAGAAAAATAGCCAACTATCAAAATAGGTTAGGATTACAACATCAGAAAGCTAGTACTTAAAAAAAACTTTTTTTATTTGAAAGAGTCAGAGACAGAAATCTTCCTTCTTTTTGTTCACACCCCCCCCCCCAAATGGTCACAACAACCAGGCCTGGGCCAGGCCAAATGCAGGAGCCCAGAGCACCATCTGGTTGTCCCATGGGTTATGCCTCTGTGCCAGTCACCAGCTTTCGGAAGGATTTTAGGGAAGCAGGCATGGGAAGATCTGTGCTGAGTTTGTTGTGGCATAGACCAGAGAGTGCCTAGCCTTCGGAATGGGGAACGTGTAGCGAACAGGAAGAACTGAGCGAGGCCAGCATGAGCTAGTTTAGGGTAGCAGTTTAGCATAGGGGTTGGGCGGGGACTCAGGGCTGGGTCTTCTGTAGTACAGTAATGAAACTGGATTTTAATCTGAGTGTACAGGGAAACTGGGGGGGAGAAAGATTTGAAGTTTTAGATGAAAATGCTGCCATATACTTTTGAAAATACGAGCCTTACTGGGCAACATCAGCAAGCTGTGTAATTTAGTGTCTTAAATCTCTAGCTGGCCAAGAAACGTTTAACCACTTTCCTGATAGAGTATTTCCAGCAGGAGTTCAACAAAGCCAAGTTTGGGGACCTGGAGCAAACACTGTTCTGTCTTTGACATTTGAACACACCTGTGCTTTTACAAAAATAGTGTCGTATGGTTTTCTTTTCCCTTTATAAGTCCATTGGTAGTTGGTTATCGTGACAGAAGAAAGTAGACCTTGGCTTCAGATTTAACCATAATTATTGATCTCATAGAAGTTTTCGGTATTCCATTAGAAAATGGTGAAAATATTGAGCAGACTGATTTTAAGAGTTAGTTCGTTCTGAAAAAAATTGTTTTTGTTTGAAAGACAGATTTATAGAGACAGAGAGAGATCTTCCACCTGCCATTTCACTCCCCAAGTGGCCACATAGGCTGGAGCTGAGCCAATTTGAAGCCTGGAGTTGGAAGCATCTTCCAAAGATTTGAGCCATTTTCCCTGCTCTTCCAGTCCATATGCAGGGAGCTGGATTGGAAATGGGGAAGCCAGAACTAGAACTGGCGCCCATGTGAGATGCTGGTGGTAAAAGCGAAGGATTAGCCTATTGAACTACTGTGCCACCCCCTAGTTCATTCTTTTATAAAAGAAATTCCTTATCTTATAGAAGAGAATTTAGATCTCTCTTCATGTAATGTAATGTTGCATTACATGAACATTAGAATGCTTTTATGCTCCTAGTCCTAGAGTAGCAGGGTCTTACATCTGGAAGCGTTGAAAGAACAATGACACGAGCTTGCTTTCTGTCTGCTGCATTCTTCTGTTTCTCGTTTTATTTCATACCTGTGTATTTTATGCCACTTGGGTCCGTTGGCATCCTCTAGCAGCTCATTCCAATTCCAGCTTTCTGTTAATGCCTTGGGAGGCAACAGTAATGGTTGATTTATTTGGGTCCTTGCTACCCATGTAGGAGACCCAGGTACTGTTGCGGGCATTTGGGCAATGTACCAGGGGATTGAAGACCCCTTGTTTCCTCCCTCTCTCCTTCCTTCCCTCCCTCCCTCTCTCCTTCCCTCCCTCTCACTCTCCTTTCTTCCTTCTCTCTCTCTTTTTTCCCTCCCTCCCTCTCTCCTTCCCTCTCTCTCCTTCCTTTCCTTCCTTCCTTCACTTTCAAATAAAATTAAGACAAACTCTTTTTTTAAAGGAATACTTGATATTGAGTGGAAATAGTCCCCCTTTCAAGTGATGCAGGTTTTATTAATAATGCTTAATTTTTTAAAAAAAATCTGAGAGAAAGCAGAAATAGCAATCTTTTTGTCTGTTCCTTTCAACTTGCTTTTAACTTAGATGGATTTTTAACTTTTATTTTGGGAATGTGGCTGTTCCTAAGAATGCTATCACGTGGAGCTTACTGTTGATGTTGTAATGTGATCTGAGTTTTAAAAGAAGGCACTAAAAATGTGTGAGAAAAAGTCGCACTGCTGTAATTAGGGGAGAAGTTGCGATTTCCCTGGGAGATTTTTTCTTTCAAGAGATTATAATTTTCTGTAAAAACCAAACGTTATCTCTTGGGCAGGTGTGTTTATTCTTGGTTTTGACTCTGTGTTACAAAGTTTGATTTAAAAAGAAAGATATTTTCTGTCTCTGACACAAAGAATGCTCATATTTGTATTTTTTTTCCTAAGGCTCATTTCCATACCTCTGAGCCTATCATTATTTAAAGAAAAATACCTTTTTTTCTAAGAGAGACAGACAGTGAGTGAGTGAGTGTGTGTGTATGTAGAATCACAACTGCGAATTTGGTATACATTGTAAGAGAACATTGGGTGATTCCCAGTAACTCCATTTGCATGCACTGTTGGCAGCCTCTGTCACAGTTTAATGTGACAGGTGCTCTGGCATTATTCTCTTGGGTCATACAGGGATAAAACTGTTCCTATCCATCCGCTATCTCCTGGACCTTAGGAAGAAGGGAGCTAGATTCTTAGAAGCCACACTGAGAACTTTTAACTCAAATGAATGAATAGCTCAAAGTATGATAAAAACAAGCTTGAAGAACCACACTGTATTTTCTATGACAATATGGATAAGCTATCCAAAGTGAATGATTTTAGCTTGTATGGTCAGCATAAAACTGTCTGCTGTCTGTGGTAATTAACCTCCTTGTCAGTCCACTACACGGCACAGATATGAGAGCGGAACCTGGGGCCAGCTACTGGGCTTATAGCTCTGGTTATCAGTTGCTGGGTGACTTTGAGTACAGTTCTTTCTTTCCCACTTTCCTTTTGTGTTAAAAGAGGAAAATGCCATTGAGGTTTATTTGAAAGGCAGAGTGAGGCAGCAAGAGAGAGAGAGAGAGATAGATTGATTTTCTATCTGTTGGTTTATGCTTAGATGACCACAAGGCGGGTAGTTGGCCAAAGCCAGTTGCCTAGAACTCTGTCCTTCAGCTGTAATGTGCCCAGCACTGCTGCCCATTCTCTTGGGCCAGTCTTCCACTGTTTCCCAGGTGCACTAGCAATGAGCTACATTGGAAGTGGAGCATCTAGGCCCAAACTGATCCCTCTGTAGGATGCCCATGTTGCACGTAGTTTAACCTACTCAGCTACAATGCCCCTGAGTTCAACATTTGATGGATAGTACATTTTCTCCTTCAGTCCTTCTAGTAAACCTACAGATATTTGATTATTTATTTGATTTTTTTTTAATTTGCTTTAAGACAGGGTGAGAGAGATGGAAAGACAGAGACTCCCATTCGCTGGGTCAGTCCCCAAGTGGCCAAAGCTGGAAACACCATCCTGATTTCCCAGAAGGGTGGCAGGGACCCAAATATTTGAACCATCTTCCACCATCTTTCCATATGCATTACAAGGAAGTTGGATCAGATGCAGAGCAATTGGGACTCAAGCCAGTACTCTGATATGGACCGTGGGATGTCAGTATTGATGCTGATACGATCGTGGGATGTCAGTACTGGTACTGATACGGGATGCCAGCATTGCAAGTGGTGGCTTAGCCTATTGCTCCATGATGCTGGCCCCAGGATGGGCATTTTAGATTGTCATTTTACAGATGGAGACGTAGCACAGAAAAGTAAGATCATTCTGCAAGAGTCAGGAAATTAAACATTTGGCCTACTTTTGTCAGAGTATAAAGCTATAGTTCTTTCTTATTATCTAATGCTACCTTCCTAACAGTAATGCAGAAAATCCCAAGGTAATTCAGGAAAGTATTTGAAAGGATCAGTGTCCCAGGGTGTCCAGAACGCTGTGAGTTGTAGTATTTAGGAGGCTCGTGATTGCTTTATCACTGTGGAGACCCTGGCTTCTGTGTTTGTAGATATTTCTAAAATGTTGCACTGCCTATCCTTGGGAATATGTTGTTCCCCTTGAGATTCTATGTGTGGCGGAATATTGGTGTTTATTTCTGAAGTCGGAATGGTAGTATTTTGATTGTTGAAGTTTTTATTTATTTATTTTTACTAGGAATTATCCAAGTTTCTCCAAAGCATCCTGATCGAGGCCTTGGATTCCAAAGCATCTACCCAGTCCTGTCTAGGATTGCTGCTGTCCGAGCGCCCTCTGTTCTCCCACACTGCACAGGCGTGTACAGTTGACCTTTCACGTTGGTGAGATTTATTTCAACTGTGATTTGGATAATCTCAATTCTCTTATGGTTTATTCATTCAGTAATATAACTGATTGTCAAACTGTCTATCTTGTGAACCTTTTAGGGAATTGATAATTTCATACTCATAAAAATAAGTTGCTGCATTTTTCGGACTTTAATTTCAGACTTTTCTGTTCCAGTGTATTCCTTTCATTAATTAGCAGACAGTTATTATTCACCTCCGTGATGTCAGAGCTTCTCCAACACACTTAGCTGAAGTAGAATCTAAGATCTTTTTGTAAAATTTGTATACATCCTTCTGCTTTAAAAAAGTTTATTGGTTGACTTTGTTTATTAGGACTGACACACAGAGATTCTGTCATCTACTGGTTGAGGTCAAGGCCAGGAATTAGGAACTCAACTAGGTCTCCCACGTGGCTTCCAAGGATCCAGCTCTACTTGAGCCATTCCTCACTGTGTCCTGGCTATGCATTAGCAGGAAGCTGGAATCAGCAGAGCTTGGATTCAAACCAGGGCACTCCAGGATGACATAAGAGTGTCCCAAGCTGCAGCTTAGGGTTAGGCAAAGCACCAGTCCCTTCCCCTCTGCTGTTTTTTTTTTTTTTTTTAAGATTTATTTATTTTTATTGCAAAGCCAATATACAGAGAGGAGGAGAGACAGAGAGGAAGATCTTCTGTCCAATGATTCTCTCCCCACGTGACCATAATGGCTGGAGTTGAGCTGATCCAAAACCAGGGGCCAGGGGCTTCTTCTGAGTATCCCACACGGGTGCAGGGTCCCAAGGCTTTGGGCCATCCTCAACTGCTTTCCCAGGCAACAAGCAGGGAGCTGGAAGGGAAATGGGGTTCCCGGGATTAGAACCAGCATCCATATGGGATCCTGGTACATTTAAGGCAAGGACTTTAGCTGCTAGGCCACTGCGCCGGGTCCTTCCTCTGTTTTTAAGAAGGAAGAATATCATGAACAAATACTGGAAACCTATTAATAAACAAATAGCAAAATATATTTGGGGGTTGTGAACATTTAATTGCTTTAAAGGCATAAAAATCATTAATGGTTTAGCCCTAAAATAAATTTCATCATTGTTGTTTGTGATCGTCGTCAGCATCGTGAAGCAGGCCTTTGTGATATAGAACGTTGCAACGGCCCTATAGCCAGTAGCTAATCCTTATCTTCCTCTCCTCCTTGACAGAATCCATCCCTTCTCCCCTGCCTTTCAGATCGTTGACTGTGTCACTTGAGTTTGATCTGTCTTAACTTGAGCTTTAATTTTCCTATTTGACATCTTTAAAACTTCTTTATTGCTGATAGTATTGGCTGATTCCTTAACAAGCTTTTTCCAGCCTCGCATATCGTCTTTAGACTTGGAAGTTCCTATCAGGAGGTAGAAGAGAGGGATGGAGGCGATACAGAAAGATCTTCCATTCACTCCCCAAATGGCCACAGTGAGTGGCCAGGCAAAAACCAGGAGCCGGGACCTCCTTCCAGGTCCCCCTGTAGATGCAGGGACCCAGACACTCGGGCTGTCTTCCACTGCTTTCCCAAGCACATTAGAGCTGGGTTGGAAGTGGAAAAGCTGGGACTCCAGCTACACCCATAGTAGATGCTGGCATTGCCTAACTGCTGCAGTGCTGGTCCCTAAGATTCATTTTATATTTGTATAGTTTATTTGATCACAGGCTTTCTGAGAGCTTTCTTCCATGTTGTAGAGTTCTCTTACAGACTGGGAAGCTGATTTGGAGTAGGTGATGACACAGTATTATATGCAAGTATCCCAAGTAGTGTGCTAACTCCTATGCCGAATCCCTATTTTAAAACTGTTTGATTAGGGATTAAGTTTCCGACACTTGAATTTTGGAATGTACATTCAGACTTGTCAATATCTGGAAGACAGTGTGTTCATTATACTTGGTCATATCTTAGAAAGGTAAGAACTCTGGAGTAGGATGAATTGATGACCAGAAGTGATATGTCCTACGTTATAGAGGGATATTCATAAAATATCTTTAATAGATAAACACTTTCAATAATGCATGCTATACCCTACATCCGGGACCTGGGGAGGATGGGAAATTGGGTGGGCCTTCTCCCTTAATACCCCCCTTTAAGCATGAAAGAAACAATATGGAAAAAATAATAGTCTCACCCACTTTCCTGTAGCCCTTGAACCTTTTTACCCTAATTAACTATGTAAAGATTGTCAAAATATAATTTAAAAAATGAAAAAATAATGCATGCTAGTGCTGTTGCAGTCAGTAGCTCAGTAATGTCCTCATCTGAGCGAATTGTGTGCATGTATGGTTTGTCCACTTTTATAGAAGTGTATGAGCAGAACTGAAGTGATAGGAAGAGTGGATTGCAAATATCAGACACATTTGTGGCAAAAATAAAAATTATAAAATATGCCAAAAATGATAAGTCTTTGTTCTCAGCTGTCCCTCATTAAAACTTACCTTCTGTCTACATATTATTATGAATAAAAGAACATAAGTAATTATAGAAAATATAGGTTGCTTATTATAATGAGAGTTATAACTGAAAGATTTTCTTACATACTTAATTGTTCAGATTTTATACATTTAATTTTTGTACCTTCAAGAATACATTCTACAAAGGTACAGCACTTAACCAAATTCCCTTATAGCCCTCAAGATAGGATTCTGTGTTGTGTGTGTGAGTTAACTACAGTGACTCTGATAAAATTTATTTTGATCAGAATTTAAAAAGACTGAACTGAGAACAGAGAAGGAAATTGTTTAAATGAAAGAATTGTAATAACGTTCATTGAACCTTAATGTGCACTGTGCTTAATGGTCAAGTATCATGTACCTACTTAACATGAAATAACTCTCCTCCTAATTTAAATATGCAAATTCCCATTTTGTGTGTGTGAATATCTACTAGGTTTGATTTGTAAGTATTTGTCTTCAAGAATAATGAAGGTCATCTTATATACAGAGATATTATATTATTTCCAGCATTATTTCTGTAACTGTTAGCTATTTATAACATTTAAGCAGAAGTTGTTCAGAATGTAATCTTTATGTCCTAGAGCCAGTGTCTGTGACTACAAGCCTTTATTCTGTATTGTGGGAAGTAAAATGATCTTTTAAATATTAGAAGCCTTTCAAAATTGTGTCTGTAGACTTTGCCAATAGTTTTCCTGGAAAGTGTGTGTCTACTTTTGTTTGCATATAGGAATCACTATAACTTAATTATAAACCATTGTTTTAGTAAATCATCTTTAAAAGATTATTATTTAACATGTTTTAGAGAAAGCCAATCTTGGTTTTGAGGGAATCACAGATTTATACTTCATTCACTTAATCTTTGTAATTTTCAGCAAAGTGGTAAGAGATGTGTTAATGTTTTATTTTATACACAAAGGTGAGGTCACATAGTTTGTTCCTACTATTATCCGCTTTCCTTTGCTCATTTCCTTAGGCTGTGAGTCTCTAACCTAAACTAGCTGATGACAGCAGGGGAAATACTAGACTCTTACAAGGCTAATGCTGCCGAAGCCACTGTCACCATTATTCTCTACAGTAGGATGTTCTGATGAGTGAAGACACCCCTGTTATCCGGGCAACAGGCATAAATGAGAACTATCCTGGGCAAGCTCAGATATGTGGTGACTGTGATCGTTGGATTTGTCATTCTGTTGCTTTTAAGGCTTATTTTGAAAGTCACAATTATTTCTTTGAAAGTCGAGAGAGAGAGATGCCAGCAACTCAGGCAGTAGCTTTACCTGCCATGCCTTAATGTTGGCCCTTGTTACCTTGAAACTCTAGATTTAGGAGAGAAAACTCAATTTCCATATGTATCACAAAGATGTGCCTTCCTGTAGGATAAGAAGGAACTATCTTTAATGTTATGCCTTTGGCAAGGTGAATTTACAATGGAAGTTTCTTGTGTAATTAGATTATTTTGGAGAAATCAGTTGGTGGACCATTGACTCCTGTCCGTTTGTAACATTGATTTACGATTTTTTGTTCCCAGATGTTGCAGCTGTCCTCATTGAGCCCAGAAGCTCTATAAATCATTGGCTAAAGATGGTGCCTGGCAACATTTTGTGTCTGTTCTTCCTGTTAAGTTGTTGTTGTTCAGAAAGTCTGTTGCTGTAAACATCCCCGACTGGAAGCTGTAAGAAGCGGCTAAGCTTTCAGTCAGATGTTTGCAGCTACCGGCTATTCATAGACGTCATATTGATATAATTACATCTAAGGAGTGGAGTTGGAAGCTACAAAACTTGTGGGAACACATCAGAAATGTTGAGATTCTTTCATTCACTTCTCTCCCTGACAGTGGATTTATTCTGATAGAGTTTACTATGGAGAGTTGCTCAATGGCAGAATGTCATCTGAGCTTCCCAACTTAACATGCTGCTGGCTCTTGGTTCCTCCCCTTCCTCCCCTTCCTCTCCCCTACCCGTCACCCCCTCCCAGACCCCTGCATCTCCCCAGCACACATTATGGGTTCTTATTCCTGTTTATACCCTGTCGGTGAACTTTACGTCTCACGATCTTTCCAGATAGGCTTGAGTTTAAACTTAACTGTTTGGGAGACTGATTTTCTCCCTTATAAATATTATAGAAGTTCTAAAGACTAAATTTACCGTCCCTATCTAGCAATGTACAAGCTAGAAATTTTGGTTTTCTTTGTGGTGGAGGTATGTGTAAACTTTTTCTCCTTGCTATAACTCACCTCCACTTTGTGTTCTCGCCCTGACTGATATCACACCTCCTAATCAGAATTCCTCTCCAAAAACCTGCAAGATCTTGGACCAGTAAGATAGTTTACAGCCCTTGCTGGTGACTTTGGTGGACATATCTGCGATAGGTTAGTTGTCCTGGGTGTCTCAGGTTACTGCTTGGCTCTGCTCTTTTCAGAGCAGGCCTGCTTTGTAAGCACCAAGACTGTATTTTATGTTTTCCTACAGAACTGAATAACCTTTCTCATGGGTGGCATTCAGTGTGACTAAATGATCATATAAAATTTTGTAGCAGCTATTTTAGTAAATGTTAACAATTTGCTTTCTTAAGTACTTTTTGAAAAAGATTTATTTTGCTGTTTGGAAGATTTGCAGAGAGAATGGGAGATGACAGAGAAATAGCTCTTCTACCCTCCAGTTCACTACTCAGATGTTTGCAAACTGCAGGGCTGGACCAGGGGTGTGGAACTCCATCCTGGTCTCTGTGAGAGAAGGGCCTGAGCACTTGGACTGCCTTCGTTGGTTTCCCAGGTGGAGCAGTTGGGACTCAAACCAGCACCAGTATCTCCATAGCAGACATGGGTTTAACTAAATGTGCCACATTGCTGACCCCCTATCATTAATCTTACTAAAGAGCTAAACATAATACAGCGTTAGATTCAGAACATAATTAAAGCCAAAGATTTAGTTTCTGCCTAAGTTGTATATGCTTGAATGCTGGCTAGATCCCATGCTTCCTGAGTTGTGTTGGGTACATTTTCCTTTCGTAATTATTTTTCCTGCCCTAAACACGTAGTATAGCACCTGTGTGCATAGCACTTCAGTAGTTCTTTTTTGCAATAGTGTATTCACTCATCTTTCCTACAGAGGAACAGTTGATAGTTTGGGTCCTAATGTAGCTAATCTAGAGGTTTGTGCACCAGAGCATTAGAGTAGTGCTTGATAAGACTTTATGGGGGAGAAATGAGTTACTTCAGAGAGAAGTGGCTTTGCAGCCTCTAGCTGTAACTCCCACGTTTCCATGCATCCTGGTCAGTGTCTGCTGTAGCATTTTAGAAGGCTCATGTTTCAAATAGCAGCAAGTGGGTAATAGAGCCATTGTTTATTACCTGTGAAAAACTTTGACACGTATAAATATAGCTTTAAAATTAAGTAAGATAGATACAGGTGACACAATTGAATAATTTGTACAGATATGATAGATGTAATCTAAGCTAAATGGTGGGTGGGTGTCCTACATAAGGCTGTTGTACTCTGCCAGCTAGCTACTCCAGTGATCCCTAGAAGCGCAGGATTAGTAGTGCAATCCGTGTTATGTAACATTTGTTCTGTATTACTCGGCCCTGTTGAGTTGCATCAAGCACCATGTTGTCTTTAATTCCTGGTACTTTTGTTTTACTGTATGTTTAAGCACAACTTTTTTCCCTTGGTCTCTACAGGTGATTATTTAATATAAATGCCTAAAATACTAGACCAGCCATATATGCCAGTAAATGTGTTACAACTTGTTTCCTTGGCCTTTAACTTCAGGAAAATAAACATGGTCTTATTAATAGGACAAAATGTCCTAAAGCACAAATGTCGAAAGCACAAATGTCTTTTATTATTTAAGAATATTTTTGATCCAATTAATATTACAAGTAAAATTTTGAGTTACTTGGCACCATTCTGCAAATAGCAATGTTTTTTTTTGCTTATATACTTTGATAATGCTCAGAGGTTACTTTGTTCAACTAACAACTGTTAACATTGTCTTACGTTCAGTTCTCAGTAGGTGCCTTTGAATAAATACTTTGGGTTAGAAAATGGTCACAGAAATACACCATTGGTCCAGTCCTTGTTGGTCTCACTTAGAAGTCATAGTCTTGGGGTGAGCCGGAAGTAGATTGAGCATCTTTAAATTCCAGGGCGGCTTCCCCATGGCACATGTTCTAAGTATAACTTCCTCTTACTCATAACTTCCTCATTGGGTGAATGGGCTGTTACCTGTTATATAACTCAGGATTTTTTGCTTCTTTGAATATTGCTCTGAAGCTTAAATATCAGTCTGAAGGTTAATTCCTTCACTCCCAAGTTTCCCTCACTTGGTTAACTGTAGGTCAACACATGACTGACTGTTGTCTTTTTCCTACTGTAGCTTGTTCGACATTCACAGCTTATCAGCATATTTGGTGAAGATTGGGTTCCAAGCACAAATATGCATCACAATTACTTTGGAATTGGTAGCTCTGGCATGGAACCTGAGAAGTTCATTAGTTTGCGTCTCTGACTGCTACTGGAGGTCCCTGTTCTGAGAACTGTGCAGCTCATCTTACATTCTTTCCCCTGTTAGGCGTTAGGCAGGTTAGTGACTGAAGTGAAGATATTGTTGCAGCAAGAGTAGTTAAAACAGAAAAACAGTGTGCTTGCAGGAGAAAAAAAAAGTAAACTTGCATTTAATCTGAAGAAGTAATGTTTTAGGAGGAATCAGGAGACGAAAGATGCTCAGGTGGTTCCTGCAGGTCCTGGGATGCCAGGAAGGCTGAAAGTCTTTAGAATTTATTTGCAATGGTCATATTTAATTCTAACAGTGGAAATAGTAGAAGGTGGGAAGAGGTCAGACGTGGGAACTCTGCATGAGGCGCAGTGATCAGGATCAGCAGGAAGAAGCGACGACTGAGCCCCTCCCAGGTGTGTGGTTGACTTTGTCTTCTACCCCAAACAGGGCTCTTGATCAACAGTTGAGTATGGATGATAACTTCAGTTGCCTTGAAGGGAAAACTACAGGAATTCTGCCCTCCCCAGCCTCCCCAAAGAGTTATGTATTTGAAAAGCAGAGCTACAGAGAGAAGAAAGAATCCTTCTAACCAGTACTTCGTTCCCAAAATGTCCGCAGTGGCCGGGACTGGACAGCCAAAGCCCAGAGCCAGGAGCTTCAGCCAGGTCTCTCCATGGGTGACAGGTGTTCAAGGACTGGGCCATCCTCTGCTGCTTTTCCAGGTGCATTAGAGGGAGCTGGATTGGGAGTGGAGCAGCCGGGACTCAAACTAGCACCCTTATGGAATGCTAGCATCACAGGCCATGTAGTAACTCACTAAACCAAAGTGCCAGCCCCAGCTGTGAATTCCCTTAGTGAAAAGAATGTCACTTGTGGTTTTTCCCAGAATTCTTCATTTTTTTCTCTTGATAACACTTTTAAAATCTGACAGGGAATGAGAAAAGAAGCAGTTCCCATCCCTGGGTTACTCCACAGATACATGCATAATCTGGACTGGACCAGACTGAAGCCTGAACCCAGGAACACAATCTGGGTGTCCTATGTGGACAGCAAGAATCCAGTTACTTTAGCCAGGCCATTGATCAGCAGCACAGCAAGGCATTGAATCGAGGTGTTGTGCCATGACTCGGGTCTCAGCCGGCATCTTACCCTCCCGCAAGTTAGCCTTCCAGTTGGACTCTTGCTTCATTCATCTGGGTGTTGTCTTCCTGGTTTTCAGAAGAAAACTCATCATGTATACTTTAATACGATTCTGAATTTCAAGTCAAGGACCAGTATAAACTTAGTCAAGGATTCCATGAGTCCTACTTTAACAAGTTTCAGTTTATGTAAACATCCTACACTCAGCTGTAATGCTTGAACTGGCTGGGAGGTGGATGTTTACGTTAGCTGACTTGGAACAGCAACCAGTTAACACACTGATAAGGGATTTGGCAAGAATAATATGTAGAGGAATTTTTTTTTCTTAATGTGCTACTTTGCATTTAAATTACTGTCATTGTCTCTATTTTGTTTTATTTCTAACAGACTCTGGATTTTGGAACTAGTGAGTGTTCTTGTTTGATATTTGTAGATCTTTCAGATTGATAGGTATTACAGTATATGTTAGTAAACGTGGACTTTTTTTAAGATTTTATTTTTAAAAGTCAGGTTTTACAGAGAGAAAGATCGTCCATCCACTGGTTCACACTCCCCAAGCAGCTTCAACAGCTAGAGCTGAGCTCTGATCTGAAGCCAGGAGGCAAGAGCTTCTTCCAGGTATTCAACACGGGTGCAGGGTCCCAAGGCTTTGGGCCATCCTCCCGTGCTTCCCCAGGCCACAGTGGGGAACTGGATGAGAAGTGGAACAATTGAGATATGAAACAGCATCCGAATGGGATGCGGGCGCATGCAAGGCAAGGATGTTAGCCACTGGGCCACCACGCCAGCACGGACTTCTGTATCAGACATTTGTGGCTGTCTACATTCCATGAGTAAATTTGCTCGGAGGTTTGTGGTCTTCTCATCTGATGGTCATAGGTTTTCACTTACATGGTGACTGTGAAGTGGTTCACCACTACCTGGCTATTAGTGCCTGTCGTCATGACTGCAAAGCTGTGTAACTGTATATACGCTCA